TGCATTTTTCTCCAGAGACAATTATGCCTGATGGTGTGTGAGTGAGACTCCCACGTGACATATTGCTTCACTGTGTGTGGTCTTAGGCAGAGCCAACTCAATTCCTATGAAATGGCAAAGAACACACACCCGGGGGGTGGTGGTGAAGAGGTAGCTCTTTTAATTTCTTTCCCCCATCCCTCTGGTCTGGCAGCTCAGTCACAGGGAGAATGGTATGTATTACGTTTTCAGTAGCTCTCAGTTCTGCTCTCCGCACTCTCAAGTAAGAGTACCCAGTGCCTGACCAGCACCGAGAACACAGCAGCCTCTCAGCCTACCATGTTCCCTACATGGGTAGAAGGCAAAGAATGGAGTTCTTTGTCCAAAAAATTAGAGAGGATTATTTCCTGCCTCTGCCCCTCTCATCATCAAGGGGGCAAAGGCAGGAAATAGAAAATGAAGTTCCCAGCCTCCTCCAACACTGACATCAAAGACAGTACCACGGTGGGTTCTGGTTATCATGTCATCCCAGGCTTGTTGCCACGAAAGGCTGTGACGCACTGTTATGTATTTTCCCCATTTTTCATTAGATGTGAGAATGCTTTAGATGAAAAAAATCTTTAGAAATATGAAAGAATAGATTTTAATATTGTTGAACTGGTACTCTTTTGCTCTCTATTCCATAACTAGAAAAATTGCCCATGAAAATACTCTCATACTTTGAACTGCACATTTCTTTCCACCATTTAATTTGATTTTACACAGATATTATTACTGTTTTAAAATCTTTTTTGGCCATTTCTACACTAAAGGGAAAAGTCGATCTAAACTATGCAATTTGAGTTACATGAACAGCGTAACTCAAATCGACATAGTTTAGATCTACTTTCCGCGGGGTCCACACTACGCAACGTTGACAGGAGACCCTCTCCCGTCGATTCCCCTTACTCTTCTCAATCAGGTGGAGTACAGGAGTTGACAGGAGAGCGATTGGCGGTCGATTTAGCGAGTCTTCACTAGACCCACGAAATCGACCGCCAATGCATCAATCGCCGCAGCGTGATCCTCAGGTAAGTGTAGACAAGCCCTTGGTCTAGGCTGAATCATTAATGGTTTAACTCAGGGGTAGGCAAGCTATGGCATGCGAGCTGATTTTCAGTGGCACTCACAGTGCCCAGGTCCTGGCCACCGCTCTGGGGGGCTCTGCATTTTAATTTAATTTTAAATGAAGCTTCTTAAGCATTTTAAAAACCTTTACTTTACATACAACAATAGTTTAGTTATATATTATAGACTTATAGAAAGAGACCTTCTAAAAATGTTAATGTGTTACTGGCACACGAAACCTTAAATCAGAGTGAATAAATGAAGACTCGGCACACCACTTCTGAAAGGTTGCCGATCCCTGGTTTAACTCATGTGCAGGGATGAATTCCAGGCCTCACAGAAGCGGATAATGGGGGGTGGGGTGGGGGGTGGATAATGTCTTGACTCGCTGTAGTGACTCCTCCAGCTGTTTAAGAGTGACTGCAGTTCACTGGAGGAGAAGTCACGGCTCACCCAGCCGAAGGGACAGTTGCTTTGATGAGACTTTTGCAGGTGGAGTGTTAATACAAAAATAGGGGAGTATCCTTTGGGATCAGAGTACAATTTGTCTGTACAAGAGTAAAAGAGGAAAGTATTTACAATAAAATTGTATTGTGCTTCTCAACTATATAGGAGCTAAGTATTACCAATTAATAATACTGAAAATAATGGGCCCCGATCCCAGAATCCAAGAGTGAGTCAGAGAGCCAGGCTGAGGGGATAGAAATGGCAGAAATATTCTAAGACCAGTTTTTCACCACTTTGGTTCAGATGCCGATCCAGATTGCAGTGAAAGTTGTGATAAAAAATCTAAATCTCAAATTTGAACTCAAAAGTAACCAGGTCAGGAGACTGCCTCAGTGAGCACATTTCTACTGTCCCATATGTGGAGTTCTTTCATATTTTTATCTTATGCAGGACCAAGGATTTGACTTTTTTTTTTAAATGGGGCTAAAATGTTCTTAATTACGAGTGATTTGTAGCTGCTTTTAGTGTTTTATGTAACATGTTTTAATTTCTCATCTTTAATAGAAACTGAATTAGTTTCTCACTTGGTTGTATGAAAGGTTCCTAGAATGCTGTGATATAGATACCAAATTAGCAAGAGTTGCTTTTTATCATATCTTGCTAAAAGAAATTATATTTTGTCTTTTGAGTTGGCATGTCCACTGATCTGAGGTTGTGGGTCAGATCTCCCCCATTTGCTGTGATGGAGACCACTGCAGCTCTAATGTGGAAGAAAGGTTACTCTCTCACTCCTTTGTTCAAACTGTCTTCATTAACAATTTGTAAATAGCATATACAATCTGAAGATGAAGGAGAAGTTGCAAACAGTAGCAAGGACTGAGAACAGTCCAAAAGTCCTAGCAAGATTTAGAAACAATGGCAGAAAAATTAGAACAGGATTCCAGTTGGAAAAATGCAAACCAACACATCTGGAGGAAATAATCTGAAACACGTATATTTTATGGAAAGCAAAAATACTGAAAGACAGAGCTGACGGTGGACAGCAACTTAAACACAAGTTTCCTTTGTAATATTAATACTTTAATATTACAGCTTCATTTGCCTCCATCACAGACAACAAGTTGGGTAAGTGGACATGCCTTTTTAAGAGAAGAGAAATTTCACTGGTAAGAAAATCTTTCTGTAGATGAAAATACAACAGTTCCTTAAGTCCTTTTGAACTTCAGAATCTCCACATTCAAATGTGATGGTAATTTGTGTTGTATATAAATTAACTGTAATTATTTTTGTTATAGACACTACGCAGGCGAGCGTTGTACATTTAACACAGCTGGAAAGAGATACCATTTTAGTGTGTCTGGATTGTAAGTTTTAGTTATGAACCAAATATACATATTCAAATTAGGTCACTTGTTTGAGAGCAATGGCTAAGTGACACCTCTTGTTTATTCTCTAGGCTGTATAAAAATAGTAAATCTACAAGGCAGATTAAAATCTAGCCGAAAACTGTCATCAGAGCTCACGTTTGATTTCCAGATTGAATCAATAGGTGAGTGTGGTTTTGGACTCAATGCTAAAGATAGTAATTTTCAAGACTTTGCTGACGTGAAATGTATCAATTCCTATGTTTTATTGTGTGGTGACGAGTTGGGCTGAGCATTCAATGGACTGATAGGCTTCCAAAAGAGGGACCAGAATGGAAGAGTAACCTCAGAAT